CAGTCGAATTGTGTTCCTAAGAACTTCACCGTTATAGATGGCTCAATTGACACTCCTTCAAATGAGAGCGGTAAATGCAGAGGTGTACTACGTTTGCTACAAAACTCTATATCGAGTGGTCCAACGAAAAGTATGCACCTTGCTTTTCTCCTTTTTTTGTAACTTAATGCAAAAATGCTCGGACCAGGTGCTCTCTTTCCAATGATACCTAATTTGTTGTATTTACTTGAATAGTTATAAAAAAAGCAAGAACATTTACTTGATATTTTTGGTGTTAATGAAAATGCGGAAAAAACGGCATTTTTATCACTATTACATTCCTCAATTTCTCTCGTGCGTTTTTTGGTTCAAATAACAACAGGAGATAAGTGTACAAAAAGAATTTAGAATCGGAAACCGATCAGAAATGAAGCAGTGGTAGTCGCTGTTTTGGGACATGTTGAATTGGATCATACTCAAAGTACCCGTCAGCTTGTTCGTCCATAATACGGATATTAAAAGCCTATAAATTTCATCCGTACAAAATTAAATTAGTACAGGAACTCAATGAAGATGATCCTGATAGAAGGCTGCAATTTTGTGAACAACTGAGCCAGCTACTAATTGATGATCCCCACCTATCATTCAACACATGCTTTTTCGATGAGAGTACATTTTCTTTGAATGGAGCTGTGAATAGGCATAATTGCCGTTACTGGGATGACAGTAACCCACACTTATTCCGAGAGGTCCATACCCAGTACCCTCAAAAAATCCATGTCTGGTGTGGCATATTAGGTAGTCATATCGTAGGGCCACTTTTTATTCCTGGCAATTTAACTGGTGAGGTCTACCTGAACATGCTTGAAGATACAGTTGATCCTCTCATAACGGAAATAATTGAAAATGACCAAAATCATAATGATGATCGGCTTCATTTCCAGCAAGATGGAGCACCTCCTCACTATGTTTCTCCGGTAAGAGAGTTTTTAGATGACCGGTTTCCTGGACGGTGGATTGGAAGAAAGAGGCCCCATCGAATGGCCTGCCAGGTCACCTGATTTATCGCCTTTAGACTTTTTTCTTTGGGGACACTTGAAAAATTGATGTTTTGCTACGCAGCCCGAGTCCATAGAAGATCTTCGCCAACGAATTACAGCAGAGTGCAGAAGTATAACACCTGATAGGCTACAGAATATTAGGAATAGATTTGAACAAAATCTGTATTATTGTATGGAAGCAAATGGGTCACATTTTCAGCACTTGCCCCTCAAAAGCAAAATTGACCCGGTTCGAGCATTTTCGCATTAAGTTACAAAAAAAGGAGAAAAGCAAGGTGCATACTTTTCGTTGGACCACTCTGTATATTCCCTCTTATTATGATTAATCATAAGTTTATTTTCAAAACACCAGTCCTTGAACTCTCTTAGGATTGTGTTGACCTTTTCAGATAGTCTTACAGATGAAGTATCTGACACAGTAATGCAAGTATCATCTGCATGTAGCACATACCTCAAACCACATGTCGTTGGTGTCCAGATAATCCAATTCAGGCCAAAATAAGTTGGTAATCATCGACCTATAGTGCTCGCCGTTGACAGTAATGGCCTGACCAACGTCTTTCTCAAAGAAATATGGACCGATGACGTCACAAGCCCAAAATCCACACCAAACAGTGACTTTTTGGGGAGTATTAGGCGCTCTTGGATCTCACGTGGATTGGTATCGTTTCAAATTTGACAATTTTGTTTGTTCACGTACCTAGTCATCCAGAAATGGGCCTCATCGCTGAAGATGGTTTTTCGGTGAAAATTAGGGTCGGTTGCCAACTACTCCAGAGCCCATTTAGCGACCACACGCCGTTGTCCATGGTCGTTTACCTTCAGCTCCTGGGTCAGTTGAATTTTGTATGGGTGCAGGTCCAAGTCACGACGCAAAATTCGCCAAGTTGTGGTCTGAGTTCTTGTGAGCGACGCGAAATCGACTGCCTCGGATTCTCCAGCACACTCTCACAGACAGCGGCGATGTTTTGGGTAGATCTTGCGTTTCGTTGACATACGGGAGTTGGTCGATCGTTTACTGAACCAGTGGACCAGTTTTCCGCAATTTCGCCCTTCAAACGCTCCAATAACGTTTTGTAATAGTCGCTGATTTTTCCTTTTTCAATATAGTCGATGAGCATCCCAAAATACTGATGCCATAACCTAACCAGCCGACTGTTGCTTTTTTGCACGCTTTGGAGTTGTTTCACCGTGTGCAGTCCACTCAGATGACAGGATATTTTATTTAGTATGAATCCTTGTTTTCAGTTGGATCAACATATTCGGTTTCTTCCTAACGGTTATCCACAGAGTTTTTCTGTGTATTTCCTGGGAATTATCACCTTTCTGAATCTGAAAAAAAAAATTATAATTGGGACAAACATCTAATTCATCGCTATAAGTTGCTGCGTAAATTCAATGTATTTGTGGAAGGTGGCAAATCCCAGAAAGATCCATAGAAAAACCGATATTTATATTCAATTAAATGAATTTTCATTCATATTTACTTGGGATTACAATACTATTATCTATTTCTCAAGTGTACCGTTAAACTGGCAATTGGTCTGGGTGCATTTGTACACTGTAAATTTCAAAGTATATTTTGGTTCCACTGATTTCATTGGATAGACCAGATGTAGATGACGCTCTAAAAATATTCCTTCTTCAATTCAAATGGGATTAAATTAACTAAACGTATGAATGTGCATATATACTGTAATATTGACAAGAGCAGAGTTGTCTCTTCTGGTGACAAAGTCGATATGTCATGAAAAAAAATGACTCCTTCGTCTTGTAATGTTGTCCAAAATGGTGCTTATGAGGTGATAAGACAAGTGTCATTTTCCGAAACTTCGAAGTACACCATTAAGGATGTAGTTCCGTGTAAGTGCCATTTTCTATCAATATTTTTTCATATATTTCGTAGCATTTTTTTGAATGAAATCTGTTTCACTTCCATAATGAATGTTTGGAGTACAAACTGAATGGTAAAAAGTGATTTACAGGTAATTCGATGTCCATATGAAAGTAGTCGTTTCGAAAGTATTTCTGAGACTAAGCTNTCGTTTCAAAAAAGTTTTTTCAGAGATGAACTTCTGTACACGATTTACATATCTTTATAAAGAGTTTTTATTGTAGTTATTTTCTTTCATCCTTTATTTGGAAGTTTCCATATTTTTTTGTTCGATAATGGAGAAGTAGAAAGCCAAAAAGTTGTTTCCCAAAACACGTCTCTCCCAAATACGATAGGTTGCCTTTTATGTTTCGGAATTTGGCAACCCTAGTGTTGCAATCTGACAACTGACAGCTCTAGGGAGAAGGAACTTAAAAGATTCATCTCGGCCCAAAAATGGAATTAGATCGTGAAAATTTTCGTGCGATTATTTTCTACAACTTTCGACTTGGATTAACTCAGCAACAGTGCATGGATGAACTTAATTCAATTTTTGGCGATGAAGCTCCATCAAGGACCGGTGTTTATCGATGGTATGATGAATTCAATTGTTGTCGTAGTTCACTTCAAGACGAATTTCGTGAAGGTCGTCCAAAATCAGTTGTTGTTCCGAAAACCATTGATGGTGTGCGCGAACTGATATTGCAAGATCGTCATGTGACCTATCGTGAGATTGAGACAACCTTAGGCATGAGTGGGACCAGCATACATTCAATATTGCATACACATTTGACTGTGAAAAAAATTTGTTCGTGTTGGATCCCACACAATTTGTCAATCGCTCAAAAAAAGGATAGAGTCGATTGGTCGAAAGAAATGCTCAAAAAATACGATCGCGGTGCTTCGAAACACGTCTATGATATCGTGACAGGTGACGAATCGTGGATTTACGCGTATGAACCCGAAAGTAAACAGCAGTCGACTGTATGGGTGTTTCACGATGAGCCAAATCCAGCAAAAGTTGTTCGCGTACGAAGCACTTCAAAGCAAATGGTCGCCTGTTTTTTTCGGAAAAACTGGAAATGTCGCAACCGTACCACTAGAACAGTGGTCGCCAACCTGTCGATCACGAGCTACCGGTAGCTCGCGGAGGCAATTCTGGTAGCTCTCACAACGATTTCAATTAAAAAAATACAAACTGCAAAAATCAGAGAAGCTTCCGAAAATTCCACAAAAAAATCTAATTGTCATAATATTAAACATAAACAGCGGCAACGTTGCGGTGAGCGATCTGCCGCTGACGCCATCGAGCTTGAATCGGCTATCCTATCTTGTTTT